AAATATTGTCGGCAAGAGGGAGCTGTGAACAGGAAGAGAGAAAGGGAAAACAAGAAAAAAAAGCGGCAGATACGGCAGCCAGAAACCAAAAATCAATAGCTGGCCACAGATCAAGAAATCCCAACAGTGACTGGGACAAGAAAAAAGCGTAGCCAAGGCACAAAACTGATTCGATCAAGTATCGAGACCGAATATGCATGTATCCATAAAGTGGTCAGGAGATGCGGGTCGCGTCCTACGTCTCATGGATGTGAGCGGTCATGATAGTGAATAGGGTGATTCGAGTGCATCAGCCCCGACCGGTTGGTTGGGAAACAATTGTTTCGCCGACTGCATGAGAATTTTCAAACCTGGTGCAAAGCTGTGAATAGATTCGAATCCAGTGGCTGACTGAATCAACAGATTTGCTTGATCGACAGCAGCCCCATAATCACCGCAATTGGCTGCATGCACACATTCGAGCAAGTGACGCAAGACCTGCTCGGACATGAGATGCGCGCCGGGACCACCGCGGAGTGCGACGAACAGGTTTTGTAACCGTCGATCCACGCTGTCCATTTTGCTTGCGTAGGACTAGGGGTATAGGTGCAAAAGACAGACCGATTATTTTGCTGAGGAACAATTGAAGCGAGTGAATGATGGATATCAAATAACCAGACAGCCTTTCTTTGAGCATGAGGGAACACAAAGGAAAACAATTTTCGTAACAAATGAAAAATACAATTCCAATTTACTCTTAGATATTTAATTTGAATTATATTCTATAGATTTGTCCCGGCAACACTTTTCCAGCGTCTCATCTACCTCTTACTTATTACTTAATTTGTTATTCACAAAGGTAGCCAATTTGCGACATTCGGAAAAACCGGTGCGTACAAGTCGAGGACTACTCGTGGCACATGTTTGGTATTTGGCCTAAAAGTAACCACCTGATCCGCATTCAGACAGTGATCCATAAAAATGTATTTCATTCTATAAACGGTTTACGAGATGAGGCGAGATATCAGCAGCATAATAATGAGTACAACTTCAGGCTGTGGTATCCGTATTCGTTGCATCATATGCTTATGAATACGGATCTAGTTCCTGGTAAAACCGATGGTGGTAGTAGAGCTCGTCGATCTTCAACTCCAACACTGTAGTGATGGAGGACTTCAATTCATATAAAAATTCAAATTTTTATTACGAGTAAATTACAAACTGAACGCCATACCCACTGGGTTCAGATAGAGATAAAAATAAAATAATGAAATAACCCAATTATCATGTTCAGTCACGGATGTCGAACAGTTAGGTGTTTCAATGATTCATTGCAGCGCAAATGGGGTGAATCGAACAACTTGGGATAAGTGAGCTCCAGATAGTCTATACGATGATACCGAAGGAGTGAGGCCGGTAATCAAGTTGACTCTTTTCGAGAAACAATTTAAAAGGATATCCTATGAAGTCGTTATTCCTGGATAGTGTCAGTAGAGTACTACATCGGTGGTGAGGTTGATACAGTAGTATACATTCGAGATGGGTTAGATATAGAAGACATAAACGAGGATCATGTCTCCCCCGAATTCGGTAGCATAAAGATGAGTAGGCTCCTAGGATTTACAGCTTGGATTGACCACTTTGTTTGCTATTCACTGCTAGTTTGTCAAGAATTAGTCATGGACTCCAAACGTGGATGGTACACTCGGTGTGAAACATAGCGTATGCTGGTAGCAGACGAGGAAATAGACCTGCTTCAAACGGTTCAAAAACACGTAAGAGTACTTGAACTAGCTTAAAGGCTATTGATAACGCTCTAACACAATGCGTGAAATATTCTGGATTTTCCGGAACTACAGCTTTCGAATTCTTCTAGATTGTAGCACGCGGTAATCGTTGATTTCCAGGTACGCACGGAAAACGGTCGCTGTGATGCAATGACACAACCTTACATTTTTCAGTGTTGATTTTGATAGATCACTGAGGATTCCCATCGCTACATTTGAGAATAGAAGTTGGTTAAAAGCTAGACTTTTAGACTTGGCTCACCAGTTCCGTGTTTCCCAAATTTGTCACAAGATCAAATAAACGCGGCAAAAGAACGAAAAGGAAACAAGTAAAATTTGCTTATGAAGTCCGACAAAGGTTCCAGAGTTGTCATTCTCAATATGGAAGATGATGTCAAAAAGATGGAAGAAATAATCGTGGATCATACTCGTTTTCAACTAGACACAAAAGCAAAGGTAAAAATGAAAGTTGGGGAAAAACAGTCTATGCTGCCTTAAAGGAATTCAGGAAGAAGAGTGTGATTGACACAAACATGTTCGTCAAACTGAGACCTCGGGGTTCACACATTGCAAGAATGTATGGATTGCCGAGATTGTACAGACCGGGGATTCCATTACGCCAAATCCTATCGATGGGCAACTGTTCTCAACACGAATTCGCGCAATGCTAGGCGAAACTCATTACTTTAATAAGTACCAAACTGTCTACGTTCAGACTGGAGGACACAATTCAACTAAAAAAGAACACAGGGTCATCAGATTCTTAGGTTACGCTCTGATTCTGTAGTCCCAGGGGTCAATCCTCAGTTGGTTAAGTGAATACCCATTGCTGATGAAATCCGATGATCCTGAAGAAGCTTCATATTTTCCATAATTCCCACTGGCTGTACCAATAAAAGTTAGACGTTGACTTAAGCTGTCATCGGGTTATCCGACCTTTAGCCTTTGGCATCCGTGCGAAGTTATCAATACCACATAAGCAACCAAACTAATTTCCGTTGTTAACACATTTAAACAAAAACCTGATGGGATAGAAGATGCATGGGTGGATAAATAGTACATTGTATATTCATGTACTCATCCGAACATTGCATCGTGGCAGCGCAGTTTTCCTATTCGTTGCAGTGAGGTTTCCGTGAAGCTCATTGCTGATTAAAATGCGGAAACAAAATTCCTCAATCTCTTTCTTATTCGAACGCGATGCATAACCCGCGTTCATCGTTCATCGCTGGTTGCTCTGGTGGACAATGTTCTTCGACTCCAAGTACATTGTTGTGTGCATCTGCTTACTGAGACTGTGTATATTTGTCACTCAATAGACCGCATTTAGCCAGTTGAATTACCAGCAAAAGCGAGCTTGTTTGCTAACTGGCTTTCTAATGAATTACACATGTCTTTGTTGAGGATGATACACGTTGTCGAAATGCAATGTAGCCAGCCTGAGTCATGCTGATTAACGCTGTCCCTGTGAGTAACCTGAGTTGAGAGATCAAAGCAGGATTACACACACCATAGAGTCCACTGTTCCTCGAGTAGGAGAAAGTCGTTGATCGACGGTGAGTCGAATACTGTGCTTACCTTTACTGAATATCCCTTGAAGCACTCGGTAGAATCATGGATAACTGTGGCTTATTCTTATCACTAAATGTTTTACTCATTAAACTATAAGGATTACATAGATGCACTCCAGCTGTGAAAAGATGCGACGCGAATGAGAAATGATGTAACAATGATGTTAAAATATGCGACGAAAGCAAGCAACAAAGAGAGAAGCTGTAGGTGATAGGCTGTTGCCACTGGCATTGTGAATAGAGCGCAATAGGCATTCCGAGAGTTAAAAAGAAAATAATAACTTCTGTTAGCTGGTGAATCAGTTCAGACTTAATCTTGCTATTCAGGTGAAATACTGTTCTTTTTATATTGTTTACTTATATCATTGCCATCCTGTCAAGTATGCCTTTTAGTGCCAGAAAAATGTAAGTAATTGCTTTTGGCTCAAAGGAATCGGTGTTATTCGAGGGAACCTCTGCCACAATGGATTCGCACTGCTGATGAAACCCAACCAGATCGAAAGAGCTGTCCAGTGTTTCCTAGCTTTTACGCTCACGCTTCATTTACACGAAATGATCATTTAATCAAATCAAATCCTCCATTTCTGTCATACAACAATGGAATTTACTCACTGGGCTACTAAGGGTCAAGACTGAACCCACCCATGATTTATTCCAATATTCCCGCCTGAGCATGGTGACCGATTAATTCATCCATTTTGACGTGATTTCCTTCCTTACTCCGCCGACCGAAGCTAATTACTACCGGGTTTTTTCATTCTCACCTAAAATTCACACGATCAACGGTCAAAGACATAACATAGCCGGTTGTGGCGGGGGGATGAAGAGTCCAACCCCACGCTATCGAAACTTTTATCCTCTCTCTCTGTCACTCACTCAAAAAGCACCTTTGTTTATCTACGGAAAAATCACTTCACTCCGACTCGACGAGGGNAATCAGTGACGTTGAAAGCAGAAGAACCAATCACTTGGCAGGGTCCCTAGAAGGCGGTTAGTAGGATGCACTTTAAGTTACAACGGATTCATTTGAAGTTGAAAAGGCATTTGTTAAACTCCGGTCACCATGTGAACGCACCCAAAGCGTTTCGAGTCTTTGCAGGACCCCGAAGTTCACGTACTTCACGATTTTTGGAAGCGATAACTAATCATCGATTGAAACCACAATTGTGTTTAAAAAGCTATGCAAATGTTTGTGATAACCAACAAAGAGCACTGGGCAGCTGTTTCGTCCTGTTTGGGACTCG